GTCGGCCGCCTGCACCACCCAGGTCGGCGTGCCCGCGGGGTCGACCCAGTACAAGACGTTGCTTGCCGACACCTCTACGTACTATGGGGCGTGTCAGTCGCCGTGCAGCGCCGACTTGACGAGCTACTCGACCACGCTCCCTCGCTGCGATGAATACAGCGCCAATGCGTCGATGCTCGCACTGGTCAGTGAGCTGTGCACTAGCATGAAAACGCCGACGATGAGCGGCGCTGCCTGCACGAGCAGCGATATGAAGCTGCTCGCCGGTCTCTTGAGTTCGCCTCCGTGGACCAACTGCTCGAGCATCACATCTGCGGCGATGGTCAAGAGTCTCTACCTCGAACAAAAAGGCACCAAAACTGCGTGCGAGATCCCGACGTGCGCCGCCAACTTGATCGCTGTCCAGGCCCAGATGCCCAACTGCTTGATTGCAAACTCGAATAACTCGATCAAGGCGTTCCAGGCAGTGCTGGGGTGCGTGCTTCCCACAAACGCAGCATCCACGACCCTCCTCTCGGGTCTCACCATGGTGGTGGCGGTTCTTCTCGTCGGCGCCTAGATTAGATCTCATAAACGACTTGAATACTGGATGCATGTGTACGAATCTTTGTTCCTTTGCAAGGGTACACACCGTCCATCGCGGTCACGCGGGAAGACTGAGACAGCTGCCAACGGTGGACGCTCGATGTGGTAGAAAATCAACCGTCGACTATTTTGGACGCGCCGTTGGATGTCTCTTGAAAACATCTGGATGTAGGTATGTATGTCGATCTAAGTGATCTGCAGTGTAGATCACTCAAATCGACATACCAGATTGTCAAGGTGTTGACGACCTTGGCGCCTATGAATGACAGAGGACGACACTGAAGACGCTCGATGACCTCGACGCCGACGACGAATTCCACGTACTGTAGCGTACCACGAGATCTGGCGCAGGACCTAAACTGTCATCGCCTTCTTCGTCGTATGTGCTATGGAACTTTTAGAGCCATGTGCTAAGCACATGGTCCAAGCCGGATTCTTCAAGTTGGCGTGATGGACAGATCATCATTCTGACCTGATCGTAGAATGAGCCCAGCGAATGATGCTTGCCAGTCGCAACTCTGCAGCCACTTGCCGAGGTTTCTAGAGCGGCAAACAAGACTAGTGCGCAGCGGACGCGGAATTTATGGCCTTGGTAAAACACACAAGGCAGATGTTACATGAGCCAATCAGTGCTGGCGTAACCATCTGCTCGAGCTACAACACAACCACATGGGAGTGCTTTGTGGGAGTGTTGGTATTGCATATTACATGCAGTCCATAGTTCAAGGGAACTAGTGTACAATATAGTCTAGGAGACTAAGACAACTAACAAGGAGTGTTATGTTGGCCAATATTGTGGCAATACTGGAAGAGGTTTGAGGAAACCACTCCATGAGGTTGACATGATGTCGGACAGGATGTCAGGCATGAGGTCAGCCGTGAAGCGCATCATTAAGGATGTGCAGCTATCACAAAGACATGTGATGTGGGTGAAAGCACCCGCATCCAAGGCTGGATATATTAGTGTCCAAGTGGATACTATAGTCGGGCTCATAGGATGAATCCGACAGACCTACAATATGTGCCGGGCGCATATTGCAGCGATCACATAAGCGTGATCGACCCATCACGTAAGCGTGAGCTTGGCGGCTTCGGCCCGGATCCAAGCAACGGGTGGCTTAGAAGAAGCCACCAAACCAGGGCGGTGAAAGATACGTGTGAACACCGAAGCCACCAGCACTCCACTCACTTTGCATTACACCCCTCACTACGGAGTGCGGACGGTGGCTTCTACACACCTGGAGCCCTTTCTGTACATTGCATTTTGCTTCTGGGTTGGTCTACACCAACAACCTGAAAACAACCTCCTTTCAGTATGGTTTTAGTAGAACACCAAGGTCGGCAACAGCCTCGCCGTGGACAAGAAGTCGCAAGGACGTGCAAAGAGTGTTCTTTGGGGGTCAAGATTGGCTCGTGCCTTCATTTTCCAATCCAAGCGATACCGGTAGGCCGCGCATCACCCGTGACCATTCATAACTCCTTTTTGTCATTTTGACCAATTGACGTAATCTATATTCTTCTGTGGACCAGAGGTGTTCTCACCAAACGGCCATGGATTCATATAGAACAGCGACGTACAATGAACTACTACCGACACGTATTACGAGCAACCGCACCATGCGCCATCTGCCTTGAAGAACGACCGACCAAACATGCCCGGCACTGCCGTCAGTGCGATACCAACTGCTGCGAAGACTGCTTCCGCGATTACGTGACGCACAAGATTCAAGACGGCGACGTCGCGCCACACCAACTCGTGTGCCCCGGCCATTGCCGGCAACCGATTCCACGGCTCGTGCTTCTCGTCGTCGTCTCGACGAGTCTCTTTGAAACGTACGACCGACTCGCTCTTGCCTACAAGCAGCGCCAGACCGGGTACTGGTTTTGCCCGCGGCCCGAGTGCGGCCACGTGCTCCCTGCACGAACCGCGCACAATAAAAACAGTCGGCGCCTCGACTGCGAAAGCTGCCAGCAGTCGTCGTGCCTCGACTGCGGCGGCGTGTACCATGAGCGGCCAGATTGCGACGTCGAGTTTCGGGCGTGGTGCGACGCCCACGACGTGCAGCGCTGCCCCTTGTGCACGATGGTGCTTGAAAAGATCGACGGCTGTCACCGCGTCGAGTGCGCGTACTGCTACAATGAGTTTTGCTGGTACTGCGGCATCCAGATGGACGACCATCAACTCGCGCTCTGCTGGCCTCGAATGTGCATGCGCTCCGAGCATTGGCTCTATGGCCCAATCGCACCGGTTCGGTTCGTGACCAAACTTGTGTTTGGTACATTTGCCGCTGGCGTCGGTTTTTTCGCCGGAGCTTTTGTCTTTAGTATTGCCGTCGTCGTCGAGCCAATTTTTGACGCCTACCACCGTGCGCGCTATTTCTCTCGCCCGAGTGCCCCAACAACGTCGGAGCAGCGCGCTGCGAATGCTGCTCCTGCGGAACGGCAACGTTGATAATGGCAAGGAAATGTTGTTGTTGAATTGGGTCCTCTATTACAATAGATGAAACTGTGCTAAATAGAATTGTCGGACTTTCTTCGTTGTGTGTACTCGGTTGAGAAACTTGATTTAGGCAGGCGGAGGCAGGAGCGCGATCCGCGGACGAGGTGGCCGCGGGAGAAGGCAAGGAAATGTCGTCGATGGCACCCGCGGTCTCCACAGCGCTCCACAAGACGATGTAAATGCGGAGAGGATGGTTGGATAGAAACGCTGACAGTGCTGGTAATGTATACGGCGTCTTTGGTGAAGACGTCGACTTCTCTCGTAGCTGTTGCTTTTCCAACGACACTGGATACTTTATAACGGAAGACGAGGTTGCATTTAACCCAAGCTAGAACCGGTGTTCCTCAAGTCAAACCCAACTAAGCGCTTACGAACGTGGTGGCAACAGCCGTGTTGGTGTCCACCATGTCGGTGGCAAGCGATGCATGGCGGTAAATCAACAAGTACGCCGCCATTTCACCTTACTTATACCACTCGAGCTTCGCAAGCGTCAACAAGAAGACGACCGGACAGCTCTCAACGACCCTACTTGGCACAATGTACCAGCCGTAGACCGACTACTAGGACTGTATAAATGAATGTCAACTGGAATAAAATCAATTTATACAGGAGTGCCGCGCCGACAACTCAGCAGTGTCGTATGGCTGTCAATTCAGTTGCATATCAAGTGTGAATGATGGTCGTCCATCACTCTGGTGCGGCAAAAAGGGTTCTTTTGTCTCAGTGTCCATTCCGCCACCAAGGCCCCACATCCACTCTCGACTTCGTCATCAAACCGATGGTTCCTCCTCCGTGTCGCCGTCCTATTCGTGTACATCGTCTATTTTCCATCGCTATCCTTGTGCTTACGCAAGCATTCCTCCTAGACAACGTACCCTCCTGATGACTCAGAAAACGAAGTCGACGGTGAAATTGACCATCTTCTCACTCTGCCCGTGGTTGCTATGTGTGTCATCTGCCTCGAAGACCGATCCGCCGAGCGCGCCCACCGCTGCCGACGCTGTGATACCAACTGCTGCAGCAACTGCTTTGGCTCCTACTTGACGCACAAGATCGCCGATGGCGACGTCGCGCCGCACCAGCTCGTGTGCCCCGGTTCATGCCGGCAAACGATTCCACGGGCCGTCCTCGCCCAGTTTGTGTCACCGAGCTGTCTCCAAACGTACATTCGGTTCCTCACTGCGTACGAGCTCCGTCAACGCGGTCATCGATACTGCCCGCGACCACAGTGCGGCCAGCCACTGCCAACGTCAACCTCCCACAAGACGAAAACCAAGCGCCGCGTCGACTGCCCGAGTTGCCAGCAGTCGTCGTGTCGCGACTGCGGCGGCGACTACCACCGGTGGTCACGCTGTGATCACGCGTACCGGGTGTGGTGCGAGACGCACGGCGCGCAACGCTGCCCATGCTGCTCGACGACGATTGAAAAGGACGGTGGTTGCAGCCACATCAAGTGCACATATTGTCACTACGATTTCTGCTGGCGCTGCCGCGTCAAGTGGGCCGACCACAACCACACGCTGTGTCTGCCGGTCGCATGCGTGCGCTCGACGCACTGGGCCTTTGGTCCGATCGCGCCTGTTCGATTCGTGACCAAGACGGTTGCGGGTGTCATTGGTGTCGGCGTTGCCGTCGCAGCAGGCGCCGTTGTAGCTGCCGTCGCGGTTGTTGTGGTGCCACCGATAGTGGTCTACGAGGGTGTCCAAACTTTCTGTCGTGGCGACTCGACCGACGCTGTCACCGAGGAACTGCATCGGCACCCGCACCCGAGACGTACCGGCGATGCCATACCATTTGATATGCGCCATGGAGCCGTGCCTGACGTGAGCGACGGCATAATCGAGTGTCTCCTTGAACCTGAATCATCGCCACTCAGTCAAGTCAGCGCATCTACAAGCAGCATGCACGAGCGAGACGCGCAAGGTGCTTCCGATGAAGTTGCTAACAGCGTTGATGAACGCGAGTGAAATATAATCTATCTATCTATCTATCTATCTATCTATCTATCTATCTATCTATCTATCTATCTATCTATCTATCTATCTATCTATCTATCTATCTATCTATCTATCTATCTATCTAGTACACTTATTACTAGTACAGTATATCGTCGCTTAATGCACCGAAAGCTATGGTACTCTAGTGTGCAATTTTCTTGCAACCTGCAATTGTTTGTTCTATCGTCTGCGCCGTAGTTTCCTCAGCTTGTCATCCAGATGATACCTTGGAACTTCGTCAAGTAACGTGCGACTCGAATTCTGCTAGCGATTTAGAAGCGGCATGGCGGGCTACGGGCGCCAAGTCTAGATACAACATAACTATCGAGCCTTCTGTCTACGCATCGGGTCTCTCTGGACGACAAAAATATGCAGCTTTCTCGCTGCGCTTGCAAGTGCTGCGTAATGCCATGCCCATGATATTATTGTGCAGGCTGGATATTTCAAGTGTCGAAGCAACTCTGCCTTGCACCAACACCCACAATGAGGCACCAGGGCAATTGCGTCGCGAGGATGGTTTGAATGGGCTCAGTCGGTGTACTTGTGTTTCTCAAAGGAGCGTTAAACGACACGGGATTCCCTCTGGCGCTTCTACTGGTAGTATCCCCACGACAGGTCAAAAAGATACTGACGCTGGCATCTGCAAAAGAGAAAGCGTTGGCAGAACTGTTTGCTCGAGACGGGATCTCGGATCGACTACATTTCTAACATTAGAATATAAAGAGAGACGGAACGCTTTTCATGTTCCAAAGATCGGGATGCCGTGGCCATAACAGATCTGGCAGCCGGCGTAAAGGATAGCGAGAGGTGGCGCCGCGACGGCGATCACAACAATGGTGGCGCCCGCAGTCACGACACCGGCGACTGTCTTGGTCACAAAGCGGACGGGCGCCACTGGACCAAAGTACCGGTGCTCGGAGCGTGCAATCGCGCGCAGCGAGCACAGCGCGGTGTTATGGTCGTCCAGGTCCACGCGACACCGCCAGCAAAACTCAAAGCGACAATACGCGCACTCCATGCTGCTACAGCCGTCGACCTTTTCAATCATGGTCGAGCACCATGGGCAGCGTTGCGCGCCGTTCTTCTCGCACCACACCGTGTACGCGTGGTCACAGCGCGACCACCGGTGGTAGTCGCCGCCGCAGTCGCGACACGACGACTGGAGGCAACTCGGGCAGTCGATGCGGCGCTTGGGCTTGGTCTTGTGGGAGGTTGACGTCGGCAGCAGCTGGCCGCACTGCGGCCGCGGGCAGTACCGATGACCGCGCTGACGGAGCTCGTACGCTTCGAGAAAGCGAACGTACTTTTGGAGATGGCTCGCTGACACGACTCGTGCGAGAACGTGGCGCGGCACTGGTTGCCGGCAATCGCCTGGACACACGAGTTGGTGCGGCGCGATGTCGCCGTTCTCAATCTTGTTTGTCAAGTACAAATGGAAGCAGTCGTAGCAGAAATGGGCGTCGCAGTGCGGGCATTGGTAAGCACGCTCGAGAGGTCGGTCGTGGAGGCAAATTTTGCATGGGGCTGTCAGCGGCTCGCCGAGTTGCGCAACACCGTGATCGATGTCATGGTTCTCCGAAGCTAGTAGGCACGACGCCGAGGTTGTCTAGATCGATGCGAGTGAGCATTCTCAATCTTCAAATAGCCAACAAGAAGTCCTTGGTGTACCTGCATCATGGTGGGATCGCAAGGAGAGATCATTGCGTGGAGAGATTCGTAGCGCGGCGTTCGGCTCGTGTTTGAAAGTGAGAGGCAGGATGCAGCTGGGCAGGATGCGTCCACAATCGGAAGTGACATGTGCAATGGAACCGCCAATCTGATTGGCAACTTGATTTACAACAACAAATCTGGGTAACGGTATAAAATTGCTCGACACCAACAGGTGGTGCCGTCGAATGAAGGCGCGAAAAATGCGCACTGGCTATTGAATCGTGCACGTAAGCTCGTTCAAGTGTGGCGACTCGAGTTGTAGTCGATGTGGACGTGCGCACGTGTGTGTACTACTGAAGTTGGGACGTTGAACCCCACTGTTAGCGCCTTTTGTGACGCATCTCGCGGTACTGTAGTACGATCATGACAACTCATCGTGTACATGCTGCTCTCGCATGGTACTGCATGAGTTGTCTGCGACGGCACGATGCGACATTGCCGGTATAGTTCCAAGTGAATCTCGGCAAGAGCCAATCAGGAGGCAGAAAAAGAGATCTTCCCGTCTCGTGCAAGCTTGCGAGTTGTCAACCTTCTCGCAGAGGTACGACGTGTCGACCGTAAAAGACTTGCCATTGAGCACCGTATTTTCAACGATTCGGATCGATAGACTTCATCAAAGTAAAAGATAGAGAAGCAGAGAGATCTTTCAAGCTCGCTTCTTCATACGTGATAATTCAACCCTTGCGGGTTGAATCAGCTATCAAGATACGGCACTGGCCCTCCTGTGCTTTCGCCCCGCGGGCGCGGTCGCCCTGCCTCCACCAAGTCCCGTCGCCTCCCGGCCCTGGCCCGAAAGGGCTCACTTCAACTTCGATACAGCCGGGTTTCCACCCACGCCGGCTACGACGCAGCGCTGCATCGGCGCCTACACATCGACTTTGTAACATGGATGGTGTTGTCTGTCATGATATCCAATCGACATCCAATCGACCACTCTCAATCCAGACGGTACGCTTCTGCGCAAGAGCAGAAAGCGGAGGGTTCGAGTCCAGTCGGTGGCGCTCCATGTGTGTTCTTTCTCGTTGGCACCCCCATAACGATGCTATTATGCACTCGTCCCTGCCCTTCTCTGCGTGGCATGTCCCACGACGACCTGAACAACGAGCGCATCCTAGATGGTCGAAATGCCTCGATACCAGCTCTTTACAAAGCCGAGCTCAGCGGTATCGCTCCATCATGCGTTGCAAGCTTACTCGGCGCGAGGAAGGTGTTAATACAACAGAATGCTTTTTAGGATACAAGGGTACACACTCGTCACACGTAGTTCCGACTAGTGGTGACGAAGGGCGCGAACGCCATAGTACACGGCAAGCGGCGGCAACGCGGCGGCGGCGACACCCACGGCAACGGCGCCCGCAACGACGGCGACGCCGGCGCCGACGGTGCCAACGACCGCCTTGGTCACCAACCGGACCGGCGCGATCGGGCCAAACAGCTTGTGTTTCGAGCGGAGGTACGCGAGCGGCCAACACAGCGCCGTGTTGTGGTCGTCCCACTTGGAATGACAGCGCCAGCAAAACTGGTAGTAGCAGTGCGTGCACGTCATGTGGTTGCAGCCGCCATGCTTCTCGATCGTGGCCGAGCACAGTGGGCAGCGCTGCGCCGCGTGCGCGTGGCACCACGACTGGTACGCGCGGTCGCACTGCGGCCACCGGTGATACGCGCCGCCGCAGTCGCGGCACGACGCATGGCGGCAGCGGTTGCATTCGACGCGGCGCTTGGTCTTCTTCTGGCGCGCCTTCGGCGACGGAAGCAGCTGGCCGCACTGGGGTCGTGGGCAGAAGCGATGGCCGCGCTGCCGGTGCTCGTACGCTTCGAGGAAGAGCACGTACTTTTGGACGAGGCTCGCCGACACGACCTGCGCGAGCGCGATGCGCGAGATCGGCCGTCGGCATGGCCCGGGGCACACGAGCTGGTGCGGCGCGACCTGGCCATTGACAATCTTGTGCGTCACGTACAGGCGGTAGCAGCCGCCGCAAAAGAGAGCGTCGCAGTCGTCGCACCGGCGCACACGCACGTCGTCGGCGGCGTCGTTGGCACGCGTGGCCCGGGGCACCTCGAGGCAGATCAAGCACGTGGCGTCGAGATGCGCCATGGCATTGTAGCGCGCGACGACGCCCGCTTCGTCGTCCGAGATCCACATGACCGACTGGGTATTGCGATCTTTGCTGCGCCAAATGGCAAGATTTGTCGGTTATAAAGCCCAGACCACGGTACGGCATGGCCTGTCGTTCGAGGCTTGACGCTCTGTCCAGAGAGAAGACGGAGAAGCAAGAAGAAGCAGGGCCGCAGAGCAGCGTGGCTCCACACGCATGGCGGTGCCTTTGCATTGGCAGAGATATTTTCGATCACGAGAAGCCGCCTCTTGTGATATACAACGCGCGACTCAAAGAGACGCTAGATGTTACCGTACTCGGCGCCACTGAGAGAGCTTTGCGACGAGGACTGTCAAATGAAAAGCCCATGTTAGCATGTTTGTGACGGTTCTGGAGTGCCAATTGAGTAGTGAACAATATTGTATGGCGAATCGACTGGTCTCATTTTTTTGGAAAATAATGTTGAATCTGAATGTTCCGTGCAACCGGCCGGTGTCAGGGTAGCCAAGCAGCGACCGGCTTTCGCATTCGATCACCTTAGCAAGCGCTAATTGATCGATTTCTGGCGATGAATCAAAAATGCTGAAAACTTCCAAGCCCATTTTCTCGAATCGCTATCACGCGTGGGCGTTTAATTGGACCGTCGCCATATTCTGCTTTCAAACGAAGCTTCCTTGTGCCTGCTTTGCATACATGGCAAAAACCGCAGCACGAGTCGCATGTGGTTGCGAGCAAGCGCACGACTGTCATGGACCACGATTTTCAAGCAATATGATTGATTCCTTGATTTTTCTATGCGATCTGCTCGCAGCGGTGAGACCACTTGGCTTCGACATGAGCAGAAAGAAATTCACCAGGTGAAAATTCCAAAAGTATCAAGTCGGCAAAAATGTCGGTAACAAGCGCCATAGTACGGTCTCCGGATGAAGGCTCGGAAAGAACGGCAAGGCGGCCCGCCAATTCGGGAGTGCTCGCAAGACGACAGTGAATCGCTACTAGGACCTCTACGTCTATACCTGCAGCTCCTATAGCGTTGATGCCGCAACGTGGCATCAGATGAAAGCGAGGACCGGAAGAGTATTCTTCCCATCCCCGTTTGTTCGTCCGAGCATCTTGAACTACGAACAGCAATAGTTTTTTGCTCCAAGTCGTGTCGTACTTCAAGGAGAGGTTTTCTAGTTCAAGGAAGAACGTCACGCACTTGGGGTGACGTCGGTGGGATCCACCTGCGTGCTCGGCGCCGACGCGCCGTCGTGTCGGTTAAAAGAACATGCCTACGGTACAAAACCCACCCAATGCCAGCCTTCGAATCCGGATACCCACCAGAGTTGTCAAGAGCTCGGAAGTACAATGTGATCTGACACTGAGGTTCTCGACCTTGCCTTGTCGCCCGTGGAGCACTAGACGAGGCGTCACCGACGTAGGTCTTTGGCTTGCTCGACTTCCATTCGATGTCTGGTGCTGTGGTCGGCGCTTGACGCGTCGTGTTCGAGGCGCGTTGTCGTGATGGGCGGGCAAGCAAAGTATCCGTGCGTCTGATGCTTCGAAGGCCACTTGGTTCAACAAGTAGCTCGTATATCATTCATTCGCTGTTTATGTGAGCCACCGAACGCGGCAGGAATATCTCCGTGAGCCTTTCTCCGTGAGACGGAAGAAGCGAAGCCGCGAGGTCGGCGCGGCCTCGGTGGCACCTCTCTGTCTCGGCCCGTCTGCATGATACAGTGCAATGTCGGCGTTGCAAGTGCAAACTCAAAACGAAGGGTTGAAAAAGCGAAAGCAAAATGGTGTCTGATTAAATATGAAGCGGGGCGTACTAGTTTGTTGGAATCGGCGCGAGTCGATGGTCCATCGGCTCTTCTATCGATCGATGATATGGTGTGTACGAGCGTGCTTTGCTTAGCAGCTCGTGCGACTCAGGTCGACGTATGGGCGCGATCGGGCGGTCGTGTCCGACGAGGTTGAGTGCCGCCGCGCTCGCATCTTGCGCATCGTCTCGAGGTGGTGGCGGAATGTGTCGAGGGCTTCGGTGGCGCGTTCGGGCTCGGCCGCAAAGTCGACCTCCTTGAGGTCTTGGAGAAGGTGGTGCATGGCCTCGTCGACAATGGTGTTGCGTCGTCGGCCGTCGCTGGAGCCGCTGCTGCTGCTGCGCGACGAGCTTGTCGAAGACGAGCTTCCAATCGTGACCGCATGCGGCGCCTTGATGCGGACTTGGTGGGCAGCGATCGTTGTGACGGGCATCGTTGGTTGGAGGGAGGGGCGGGTGGTTGGTGCGGGCGAGTCGCAAATCAAAAGTGGCGTGGTGCCCATACTGCGTATAATGTGTTCAGTCGAGTGACAACGGTCTCGTTGCACGGGCAAATGAAGTCTGGTGCAAGGCCCGCAATTTCTCGGTCTCAAAAACACGGGATTTGGCCAAAGACACGGTGCCCATCGGTGCGACATGTGCGATTGAACCTGCTGCGTCAGCGATCGCTGATTGGGTCGCGTTATGATGGGCGAGCAACGGATTGGCCGTTACCGAGCGCTCGGAGCCGTCCGTTTTTATTCCACCTGCGCTAAACCGTATGATTGGACAAAAGGATCGCACAGAGCCACGGCCAGCATCGGTGCCCAGCTGCACCCGCGTCCTGTATCAGCCGTCGAGCACCCATGCGACTTGCGCTGGACTACATGGTACCTTGTGTGTGCCGTGAGGGATCGGTATCTCGCCTTCATACCATCTTGCACATATTTGGCGGCCAGTGACACACCACATATTTGGCGGCCAGTGACACACCAAATGTCATGTACTGGCCAGTGAACGACGCGGCGTGGGACAAGCGATGCAGTAACTCGCGACGATCCATCGACGCCGCCATCCTAGTCCTTCGACGAGATGGCGACATGGGCGCCGCATCGACAGGGCGGGCGTGTCGAACGGGCGCTGAACGGTGGCGAAGGGCGGTCGATGCATACGAAGGGCCGCGATGAACGTTACGACGAGGATCATCAGACCACGAGTGAGTGCCGTCGCGTCAACGGAACCTGGATGTCGAAGTCCAGGGCCTTCGTAGACCGACGCTTCGTCGCTTGTTCTTAGCTACAGCTACTTACTACTGGTATCGAATGCAAAATGGTACATGAAACAAAGAGGTGGCGTGCGACAGCAACACTGACGTGTCGTGTTTACTGCCAGCACAAACCGTGAGCGTACATGGCCCAGACGCTCGACGATTCCATGCGACGCTGCCACAATGATCCTAACACGACGCTTGGCCGCTCGTCGAAGCGCCGTAGACAGACCAAGTGCCGCCTCGGCGTTGTCTGGCGACACACCCAAGGCAAGTAGCTTCAAGGAAGACGCGTTACGAGCTCTCTTGTCAGAACGCGCTTCAAGTATATTGCAGTAGTACTCACAACGACCCGCCCGGATTGCAGACCAGGCAAGCACAACCTGGACCCAAACGAACCTGGGCGATCTCGGCCACGGTCTGTCACGCGATGACGTGGCGCCACCTGCACCCAGATTGGCAATCTGTAACGGTTTTCCGAAGTTCCGCGACCGCTGCGACTACGGCTTGCGGCCAGGCAACGGGCAGGTGTAGCCAGACACGGCACACTCGCTGCCAAGGCACGCAGGGTCATCCTCTTCCGGTGTGCCGCCGAACGACGCCGCACTGCGCATTTCCTACGCGACAAACCTCCACCTCGTTTGGTGTTAACGACAAGCGACACAGCGTCTATTAGATAAAGAACGATACGGTGACTATTCGTCGTCGTCGAGGCCGAGAAAGGCAGCGACGAGCTCGCGGATGCAGTCGACATACATGGTCCAGACGCCTTTGGACTCGCGGTGGCCTCTGCACGCGCGCACGAGCTGGTAGCCGGCAACGCAGGGCAGCCCGAGCCCGACGACGGCGAGCAAGACGACGACTTCAAGGACGACGACGCCCGTCACCACAACGCCGTGGGCCACGGTGCCAAGCACGGAGCGCTGGCCGTGCTTGGACCACGGGCGACCAGACGCCCAATCAAACTCGTAGTGGCATTGGCTGCAGGAGACGTGGTTGCAGCCGCCGTTCTTCTCGATCGTGAAGCGGCAGTTGGGGCACTGCTGGGACTTGGTGGCCTTGACCCACTTTTTGTAGAGCTTGTCGTTGCACGTGGCGCGGGGCAAGCGGTGGTAGTCGTCGCCGCATCGGAGGCACGACCGCTTGTGGCACACAGTGCAGTCGACACGCCGTTTGAAGAAGAGGCTGTCCTTGGCGTTAACTGGAATCGGGGCGCCGCAGTCGGTGCGCGGGCAGAAGAGACCACCGCGCGCCCGGTGCTCCGAGCTCGCAAAAAACGTTTGAAACTTGCGGAGAGTCTCGGGCGGCACGTGAAACGCGAGGTCGTTCATCGTGACTGCGACGCCGCAGGCTTCGCCGGGACACACGAGGTGCGACGGCAGCACGAGGCCATCGTTGATTTTCGTCACCAAGTACGTTTGGTAGCATTGCATGCAGAACGCGCTCGAGCATTCGCGGCACTGGACAAAGCCCTCGACGTTGTCGTAGCGGCTCGTCTCGGCGCAGATAACGCACTCGAGGAGCGCGGTAGAGGAAAAGGCCGACGCGGACGACAGCGGACTCGACATGTTGGTGTTGATGGAGGAGTGGTGGGACCTGCGAGGCAAGGTAAGTGTTGAAGTGATCTTGCAGCATACGCGCTGCGCCGAGCAAAGACAATCATTAACTGCGTGCACTTGGATTCAGCATCCCCTCGTCGATTCGTTAGCTCGTGTTTTTACAAAATGTGTGAAAATTTCAACGAATTGTACGGTACGAGCGTCAATTTTGCGACAGTGGAGAGCGCGCAAGGCAACGGCACCTTGGCAGTAGCGAGGCAAACGCGCGCGTGGAGTCGCAACATGGGATTTGCCGCTGTGATGGAACGAGACCGATCGGGACGACGTCGCTAGTCCGCTCATGAACGCATTGCGGCGGTGACAGATGTTTGACGCGGACAGGCCGAGGTTCATTGAAGCCGAGGACGCAGGGACATGCAATGGCCAAGACGTCGACACGACACCGCGATAAGCATGCTCCTGTAGTGGTGCAATATGCGTGGTGGCAGCGCAGGGCGTTGGTTCGTCGACGCATAGGTCATCTTCAAAAATTCAAAAAATATCACGTTTTGTCCGCAATTCTAGAGCATCTTACATTTGGACGCTCAAATCCTAGAGACGAAAACAGGTTTACGCCCTTGCGAAACTCGCACGTGAAATAGCAGCGCGTTCCTACTCTTATGGTGAATCGTGCAGACACAAGTACGCTTTGACACATTTGTCGCCTCCGAGATGGCGAACGTTGATACATTTATTGTCTCCTTGCCCGACATGGGCTTCGCCGAGGCATCGTCCGGCGGTCCGACCGGCCAGGACCTTAGCGAACTGGCGCGTGCCGCCGGTCACGTATAGTAGAGCAGACAACAAAATCGCGCATCGTTTCAAGTTTTGCATTGGATACATTTCGTTGGCGAGGTTGTGCCACAACTACAGCAGCGAACAGGGGCTCGTTTGAAGGCCGAGTTGTCGCCATCGTGTCTTCCACTCTGATCACGTCCATGATCGATCACGGCAGCCAGAGTCGCTCCTTGCGCGATTGCCACGTCGAAGAGCTTGACGAGTAGCCCCATCTCGTGTGGCTGCCCGCGTGTAGCAGCACAACACGTGTATATCGATGGTATTTTGTCGACCACGCTCCGAGTGGTCGAGTTCGGAACCATCTACATTGCGTACATGAAGACGTAGCACTTGAGCACCAACGATGGACGATTGATAAAGTAAAGTAGTACTAGTAGGTAACGTTATTAGAGACAGCGACTTAGACGAGGTAGCCGATCGCGGCCATGATGGCCGAGCCAATGTAAAACACACGTAAATGGACGTGCGGCGCGGCGTCGACTTGGCATGAAAGTCGGCGTTGATCGTATATTGGTACGTCACGAGCTCGACGAGGCCCGTGTAGACAAGGATGCCGCCGGCGATCGCCTCCAAGACACCGCACACCCACAGGGCAGTGGTCGAGGTCGGGCTGTACGCGTCACTGATGAGAATCCCAATCACAATGCCGATAGGCGTCGTCACCGAAAAAGAAAGGCCGTGCGAAGCGCTGCTTTGAAGCCCGAGAACGCCGAGACGGACGACGTGCCAACCGCGACGCCTTCAAAGAACTGATGGCAGCAGAGCGCGATCCATAGAGTTAGGAACGTGTCGCCGTCGGCCACGCCGAGTTCGAGGCCAATGAGCACCGAGTGAATCGCAACACCGACTTCAAAGATGACGGCCGTGATCTTTTGTCGCAAGACGGCGTGGGCCACTGTTGTCGACACGGGTAGGCGCGTCATGCGGCGCACCTCGAGTGGCGACTCGGCGTCGTCGTAGTGATCGTCCTTGGCCAGCATCGCGGGCGGATCGTCGTAGAGCGTCATCTCGGACGGCGACGGCCGCGACATGGCAATGACGAGCTCGGTCTCGAGCAGCTGCATGATATAGATCGTCGCAAGCACGATGACCATGGCAAGGCCCTTGTACGGCAAATCGAGGCATGGACTGTCGAGGTTCCGCATCGCGGGCGGGATGATGTGGATGAACGCGGTCGAGACGACGACGCCAAAGCCGAGTGCATTGAAGCACTCCATGATCTTGCGGCTGTTGCGGAGGCAGGCGAGGTACGACGAGAGCACGGGTAGCATGCTCCCGGCCAGCGAGCACAAGAAGATGACAGGCACGGACGCGATTTCTTCGGCGAGGTCGGCGACGATGCTGTCGCGGGGCCCGCCGCAGGTAAAATTGACGGTCACGGTCGTCGCCATGTTGCAAGTTGCAGAGTGTGGCCACGGAGGCGCGCTACGCCGGGCGTGAGGCCAGTCGCGCGGTGGCCCGATCCGGACAGGCGTCCAATTGGCCGACCTCTCGAATACGGCCGCGGGCCCGGACTCAGCATGGATTTGACCATTTTTCAATTTTGACCATACTATACGTCATACAAAAACAGCCATTATCTGGTTGCTGGCGAAGTGAAAAACGGCGACGGTCCGAGTGCGGTCGTATCGAGCGCTACGCAACTATGTACGGCATCAATCGATACCGAGAGACATGGAGGCGGCCCGATGCGAGCGAGGGCTTCCTCGGAGCGTGCTACGCCGGCGTAGAGACCTCGGTCACAAACGCTTGCGGCCATTTCATTTCTGAAGTACGAAGTCTGGATTCAGGCTTCGAACTTCGACCAGGCGGTGCTGGAAGGTTTGGCGCGATTCCGAGCATGCCGACCGACCGATCTCGGAGCCTGCGCGTCCAATCTCGCCGGCCTCTTCTTCTTCTCAGAAGCGCAGGATCAGATGCACCGCGTTATGTCGACGTCTTTGCCGTTGAGCGATGCAATTCTCGACCGAGATGGCCCTTTCAACGTCGGGATGCGAGCGCTGTCCGTGCTACTAGTATTAAGTACGCCCGCTTGCGAACGAAGGGCCTCGTCGAGTAACGTTAACCGAACGTGACGGCGCACCCGTGTACGCATGCACTGCAGAATAAGTTCTGCCGGCACGGGCGTGATTCGTATTGGTGTGAGAATGCACAAACGACGACGATTCATTTTGATGTCATCAGGCACGTCGCCACCGTGGCACACAACCGTTCGCCGCGTAGGACATGCGTTCTAGTAGGTGGCTTGGTCGCATTGTCATGCGAAGCGTCACCTGCGACGAGGCCACAAGTCCGAACCAACACCGACAACAGCGGAAGGTGCACGGACACACGCTCCAGGCGGCTAATACCACGACGAGCAAATGCGATGCGAGACAGCTTGTGTCGTCTCTCTGCCACCACGCCACCTTGGAGCCACCTTGAGTCTCGTCGTCGGAGGCGGCTGCGAGAATGGCCGTACTGGCCTCCATGGACCGATTTTGTAGGTCCCCGACGTCGTTGAAACCGACTTTTTTAATGGGTCCCCCTATCTTGAAGTCGATTCATTTTAATACATCCCTTTACACTCGATTGTTGTATATCCTAAAAAGTGTTTTAATAAAAAGCTTTTTGTCCACCCCCCGGCTGAGTGATAGGCATCACGAGTGGCAGCTGATCGCGACGAACACAACACGATGCAGCACGCTTTTAGCGCGATCGCGCTCCTCGCCTCGACGGCCATGGGCGACTCGCTGCGCCAGGTCGCGGTCGTTTCGCGCCATGGCGTGCGTGGCCCGTATGGCCCCGACGGCCTCCCGCCGACGCTCGCCAACATGCAGCGCTACTCCAAGAACGCCTTCCCGTTCCTCGTCTCGGCCAAGGACTGGGGCACGTCGCAGAACGCGTCCGAGCTCGTCTCGCCCAAGCTCACAGCACATGGCCGCAACGCGATTCAGAAGATGGGCGAGGTGCGATGGATGCGATTGGTTCCAGCGATGCGATGCTCACGGCAGGCGTGTGCATAGTACTTTGGGGCCCACTTGTACCCGTCGCTGGCGCAGCCGTCGACGTGCCACGCCACGTTTGCCTACGCCGACGACAACGAGCGCGACATTGTATGGGCTCATCTTTCGCGACCTTGCGACACCTCATGCTGTGGCGTATTCATAGGACACGGCGCAGGCGTTCCTCGATGGATTCCTTCCATCGGCGTGCGCCGCGGTCAAGCCCGACACGAATGGATCCCGCCTCCTCTTCGAACAAGGCCAAGACCCGACCGCCGCGTGTCCTGCCACGTCACAGACGCGTACGCTCTTGTGTGTTGTATCAAGTTGATATTACGGAGACGATGGCCTCCCATAGTGTACAAGGGGATTGTTGGCAATGCGACCGCAGACAATATTGTGCGCCACTTGGTGCCCGAGATCCAAGCACTCAACGACATTGTCGACTGCTGCCAGCCCGACGTGTGCGCGGTGGCGTCGGCACGGTCGCTCTTGGCCGGCCCGCCGACGACCTGCACGCTCTTCACTGTGCCGTCGACCTGGGTATGGACAATGTGTCCACAATCCGGACGCCAACAAAGTCTCCTATTGACAATATGGTTCTTAGAGCGGCAAGTTTTACGAGCCGTGGTCCGACGCGTTCTCGGAGGCGCAGTACCTCTCCGAGTGGTTTCTGCTGCAGAGTCTCAACAACATGCCGCTGCCGCCCAACAAGACGCTCGACGAGATGGTCGCCTTGGGCCAAGTGCACAACGTACATAACTATACTGATGTGGACATATTGTCTTATGTTCAATGGACGTAGGCGCACATGCAGCTCGTGACCAACCAATTCAACGCCGAGAACTTTGGCAGCACGCTCCTCGTGCACTTGGTGGCGGGCATGGAAGAAGCCATCACGCGCGTCGCCGTGCCGATCGCGCCAGGTCCTGGCCCGCACCTGCTCCACGATGTCGCGTCGAATTTTTTGTTTTACGCCGGCCACGACATCAACTTGCTCTACCTCAAGAACCTCCTCCGGTATTTCCCTCGTGGATGATGTTGTTCATTTGAGCGTCTGGAACTAGACCCCAATATGGTATAGGATGGAGTGGGCGACCAATGACTGGAACTTGAACCAACCCAACCCCGGTAGTATGCTCTTGTTTGAAGTCCACGCCGACGCCAACAAGTCGGCGAGTACGTCCCAAGAGGATTTCTTCGTGCAAGCCTACTTTGTCGCGGCCTCACCGCAGCAGATCCGAGGCGCCGAGACGCTCTCGCCAACCAACGTACGACGACCTCGTCGTGCTTATTGACTACGATACATGTCTAGCCGCCGAACCGCGTGCCCGTGAGCATCCCGCAGTGCTCGAAAGACGTCGTTTTGGCCAACGGCGAACTCCAAGTGCAGTGCCGCTTCCAGGACTTCAAGGCTGTACGTCAACCCTCCTCGATGGACGCGTGCCATGGATGCATGCCTCTAGACGGTCGGAAAGGCCATTCGCCACGCGTGTGTGAGCCCGAGCCTCCAAAGCTACGCGTCGACGCTGTGGCACGAAGAAGCCGCGTCGATGCGATTTGCGTGGTCCATGGAAACCGTCGCCTTGGTGCTCCTCTCCCTGATCTTGCTGATCGTGACGGTTCGCTACATCCGCCTCGCGCGCGCCCATGCCTCGGCCGAGTATGGCAAGTACGCGCCACTTGTCTAGGCCATCACGCCAGTGCTGCAAGGAGGTTGTTGTTGGAAGCAACCCTAACCTCGACTACTGTACGTACTTCCACGAGCCATGTGTGTGTCGAACGTGGTGGGTGTGCTCGCGTGAGGATCGTTAAGGTCGCGTGGGGCCGTGGTACATTCGTGGTTCGTATGTGTTCCTACAGGGTGTGAGCGGACCATGCTGTCGGCGTCGTACTGGTCTTGCACGCATGTGGGAGCTGTCACATATTTTTGTGTACTGAGGGTAGTGAAATAGTTCACAGAGTTCGCAAGAGGAGCGCAATCAACACCACGTTGCATCGTCCGTTTTCGTTTCTATCGATTGATGTAGTTCTTATGATGTGTAGTAGTATATCCTAACGACTAGTAGTTGGTGATTCATGTTTATGCGTGGAGACCCGTGATCTTGTCGGTCATGTGTCTGCACATGGGGCACGTGTTGTGCGTGTACAACCACTCGTTGACGCAGTCGCGGTGGAAGCAGTGGCCGCACGGGAGCTGCACGACCTTGCCGAGCTCATCGAACTCGTCGCGCAGGTACTCGTAGGTGCAAATGGCACATGTATCCAGCATCTGCTCGTTCGTCGCTTGCTGGAAGCGAATGTCGCGGAGGCTCACGGGCACGTCAAGGAAGGTGTCGAGGAGCGTCATGAGCGCGCCATGGGCGGCACTCCGTGCCGCGACCGGGTACAGATAGCACACGGACCGGCAGTCAAGCGCGAGCCAGAGGTACTTTTTCAGAATGTGGCTGCGCTTGCGCATCGTGGAGGCGCCGTACTTGTCGAGCACGAGCTTGGTCGGCAGCGACCCACGCAGCAGCGTGGTGGCGAGGCGGCGGATCGCGACGTCGTCGTTGCCACATGCCAGCAAAAAGGCTTCGATCGTATCGCGGAAGGCATAGAACGACGAGCAGCGCTTCTCGACGACCCAGCTGCGCTGCGTGATCGGGCACGTGACCTGGATCGAGTACTTGGTGAAGGCGAACGACCGGCGAATCTCGATCGCCGTCTCGCACGTCGCCTCGTCGTACGCACGTTGATCGCGTGGAAAGGCCGATAGGGATGATGAGGATGGAAGCAAGGGGGATGGGCGGTCGGCGAGCATCGTAGCGGGCTGGTGAGAGGCAGCGGAGAGGGCGAGGATGGCTGGTGCTGAGGCGGCTAGGGGCGAAGCTGCAGGTTGGGAACTGCAAGCATCAAGCCCGATCGGTCCAGAATTCGTGTCTTTCCATCTGATTTGCATCGAGACATTCGATTGCATATGTTTGACTTGAATTGTTTATGAGCTTTGTCACACATACAACATCTACGTTATAAATGCATATATCTTTCCAAATATGGTAGCTCACCAAGAGATGTTGACGGAGGTCGTGTCGTGCCACGACAGTGCTAACATTATTTACGTTTGTTGATGCGATTGGCCAATGCTGAAAAATGTGAAATCGTGTCATAACAGTATATCGGTACACCTAGGATTGTGGGCAAGATCGTGGGACAAGCGCAATGGAACTGCAAGGTCCACTGCAATTTGAAAATGACACGCAAGTCCCATGTCCAACACGTGCGAAGCGTCATCTCTGAGAAGCTTCGTCGGTGCTGCGGGCGACATGGACGTGGTGCGTGATCGGAGATGGTAGCTTTGTACCAAATGAGTCTGACGTATTACGTGCTGCACCACGATGCTCCCAAGGTTCGTTGTCGTCAACAACACACAAAGTTCAAGCAACGCGTGTTGACGACAGGTCCGCTTTGCGTGAACACAAACCTTGCTGTCCTTGCACTTGGATTATGCTAGGACCTCGGGATGTAAGCAGAAAGGTGGTGCGAATCGACGGTGTTGGTCCTGGTGCACTTGTGTGTTTTTGTCGTTTCAAAGTAAATTCGTGTCGCGCGCAATGGTGATGACTCGTCTTGACATGCGCGGCGCTGGTGACGTCATGGTTCTCAGCGTCCGAGCGTAGTGTCCATTCATCTCGTTTTGAGACTTGACTTTAGGAAAGTTGGGGCGAATCAATCGTATCGTGTGACTGCGTTGCATGACCCTGAGCCCGTCGTCGGCACCGAAACGAAGAAACGACCTTTTGTAGTTTCGGTGGCGACGACGGGCGTATGACATTCACGTCAGACGCCTGACTGCAGCACACGACCTCTGCGACGTAGTCCGGTATCGTCGTTTGTTGTTGAAGTGAGTCTATTTAGATATAATTTACACTGAACTGGATATGGTGGTGGACTATCGATTCCAAGGTGCTACGATGAGCCGGCCGCCGAGAGGCATAGCCGAGCGGGAGACGTGGCGTGTAAACCGGTATCGTCGTTTGGATATGTTAATAAATATATCAACGTGTTCCGCGTTATCTTTCTTATAAAGCTATCGCATACGTAGTGCTGCGCCTGAATGCGTGGGCGTTGGCACCAGCTCGTGGTCGTTGGGCGTGAGTTGCGTCATATGGAGAGATCCATCCCGTGGTGGACCCACAACCTTTGGATAGCAGCGTTCATTCCAGGTAAATACTACCAAACCGCCTCTGCTCAAATTCAACTCTTGGTCCCGATACTCTTCATGAGCGCCTGACAATGCGACGACCACTACAGTACTAGTAGAGCAACGAGATGGAGTTGGGGGTAAGCACGCAATGGACTGACGGGTGTTGACACTGGTTAAGATTTGCTATTTGTTGCAATTGCTATTTCATTCTCAGGATGGCTCTTGACACCATACTCTTGTGTCCGACCTGCTGACACGCTTGCTCGACCACTGGAACGTACAACACGATATTTCAAACGTAAGCGCATACCATCTGCGTCCATTCACTTGTGTTTTATTTTGTATCACGACATCACTTTGTACTCTACAATTGGCAACCTTGCCACACCCGGTTTAATGCTGGACGCTCGTCCGGCCTTCCTCGAGCACCTTGACTTCTTCGACCACATACGAGTCTTCGTTGGCCGACTCGAGCGCCTTCTCCCAGCCGTCCTTGCGGAACTCGCCCTCGAGCTTGGCCATGACGACCGACGCGAGGCAGTTGCCAAAGACGTTGGTGAACGTACGGGCCATGTCCATGAGCCAATCGGCGCCAAGGAGGAGCGCGACGGGCCAGCTCGGGATGTTAAACTGGTCGACGGTCGAGGCGAGGACAATGATACTCGCCGAGCGGACACCGGCAACGCCTTTCGACGAGATCATGAGCATGAGGACCATCGTGATTTGCTCGCCGACGCCTTTCTCAATGCCAGCGGCTTGCGCGCAAAAGACTGCCGCGAGCGAGAGGTACAAGGTCGAGCCGTCGAGGTTGAACGAGTAGCCAAAGGGCACGACAAAGGCCGAAATGTGGGGCGAGACACCAAACTGGAGGAGGCACTCAAACACCTTGGGCAACGCGGCTTCGGACGTCGCGGTCGTATACGCAATCACGAGCGGCTCGCGCATCGCGGCCATGAACTCGAGCGGGTTGATCTTGAAGACAAAGAAGATCGGGCCGAAGATGACAATGATAAACACCACGAGCGTGCCGTACAAGGTCGCGACAAGCGCGCCGAGGGCCGCGAGCGCACCGACACCGTTGGCACCGATCGCGTTGGCGACCGCAAAGCACACACCGAGCGGCGCGGTCCAGATGACAATGTCGACAAACTTGAGCATCATCTCCATGACGGCGGTCGCAAGCTCGAGGAGCACTTGCTTGTGGTGGCCGTGGGTCTGCGCGGTGGCGACACCGACGAGGATCGAGGCCACGAGCACTTGGAGGAGCTCCGAGCTGCCCGAGCCGCCCATCATCTCACCCCACGTCTTGGGCGTCAAGTAGTTGATCCAATGGGCGAATGTAAAGGTGGACGACGCCGACCCCGTGTAGTTGCCCTTCTTGGTGATGCCCGTCTTGCCGGGCTGGACCCAGTTGACGGCGAGGAGGCCCACAATGAGCGCCAGCGTCGTGACGATTTCAAAGTAGATGAACGACTTGAGCGAGAGGCGGCCGAGCTGCTTGAGGTCGTTGTTGCCAGCGATACCGACAATGAGCGATGAGAAGACGAGCGGGAAGACGATGAACTGGATCGGACGCAGGAAGAT